CAGTCAAACATTTTATGGCTTACTATTTAGCTATCTTACCATGACCGATGTAACATCGCAATCAAAAAAACTTGTCAAATCAACCAAATCATTACTGTACCATGAATGTTTCTATCTCCAACACTTCACACAAAAAAATAACTCTTGCACGTCTTGCATGCCTATGTTTGAAAGAAGTAGAGAAATAGACCGGAAAAAAAAAAATGACCGACCTCGTATTGAACCAGTGTCACAACAAAACAAACTCGCATCCAGCCACTTCAGCGCCTTATTCGCTTGCACTAACGAAGCAACAGTAAGAGAATTGTGTAATTATATGAATAATAAAACTAGCGGCAAATACCATGCTTCGGTGACTTCATCGTTTAGCAAAACAAAGGTTTCTGTTGTTTTTCGCTCAACAAAAGATCTCCAAAAGATACCCTTGGAAAACTGAGTTTTTTGCATACGTTATTTCACAAAAACGAAGTGCAAATCAACAAAGACAATTACGCAACGATGCTTTTCATGTCAAAACAAGTCAGTGTGCCAAAAATTAGCTCGATCCTGCAAAAAACAAAAATCGGCCCAAAATGTCACATATGCCCTTTTTGCACGAAAGCCTTCATATAAAACATTTGAATCTCTATGTTTTCATCATTATTTTATTATAGCTAACTTATCAATCTGTTCTGACTTGATCTTGTAGCTGCTCTTTGCTATTTCTGAAGGGGAGACTTCAGACTCTGCAATTGAATCTATGTGGGAAGAAAGTACTGACTCAGATCATGTCACTGGCCAGTCAGGAGGTTAGTATTATGTTGAGTAATAATTGTTATTTATAAACAACCTTCCTAACAAAGGTACATGCAAAGAAAAATTCATTTTTATGTTAAGCTTTCTATTTAACTCAGCTTCATAACAGTATGGGTATCATGATATACGTACATGTAGCATTTTTCTTAGTAAAGATCTTGGGTACAGTGTACCTGGGTCAGCAAGTTGCTAGATTTACATTATTATCTTCTATTAAATCCTTGTACAAAGAGGATTTCAAATTTCCATGTGTTTCTCTGAGACAAATGAATAGTAAATTAGTATAGATAATTGTATGAATGTGAGTGCACTTAAGGATTTACACTATGAGTGATATTTGAAAATTATCTCAAAATTGCACAAGCCTTTAATTAGGTGAGTGCAATTTACAAATTGTGTACAAGTAGGGTAAATCCTTAATTTTTCAAGCTTTCAGACAATTACTCATTTATTATATGACTGGGATTATTGTGAAGGCATATGCATTAATTTGCACTGCAGTGCAAATTAAAAATTAAACAATAAATTGGCAAGATCTCAGCCAATCACAATGGAGTAATTTCCTCCGTCATATAATAATATCAGTTATGCATGTGCTCTAATTAGTATAATGTGGACCTCCTAGTCTACTTAAGTTGTACTACATGTCTGATACCTTGGAAAAGGTGTAACATTTTCTGTCCTCCTTTTGCAGGTATTTTAAAAGAAATTTGCCCCAATAAAGGGTCCATCAAGGTATTTTTAAATCAAATTAGGTTTGAAGTACATTTGAATTACTTGCAAGAAGACCCTTAAGCTTAAATGACTTGCAATAATTTTTGCAAAAGATTACCAAATCTTGGCTGAAAACCATATGAAGCTTTAATTAAACTGCTCACTGCCATGTGAACTCTACATGGTAGTTCATGACATCACAGTATGTTGTAAGAGATCCTAATCTGGAGTCTGTGAAAGAAGACTTCATTAAGGAGAATTTTACATGTTAAGCTGGAAATTACAGTATAATATTGCATTAGAAATGATAGGTATGTATTGTATGTATGTATTACATGTATTGTATTGACTTTGTATTATTTGCATTTTCTGTAAATAGGGTGGAGATCGGTTCCATTTAATTTTGGAGGATTTTGTTCCAGTAGAGACTGAGTTGTGTAAGGCCATTTTTCAAGGATGTGGAGAAGTTTACCTCCACAAAGGAAGTCTTTCTACATTGGCTGGTGAAACTCCAGGTATGTTTAATTGTCTTGCATTAGTCTTGTGTTGATTCTTGCATATTTGTTTTTAAAATCTCAAGAAAAATAGTTTTCTTGTTAGCTGATTTAGTTGACATCCCTAACTACATGTACATGTACATCAGGATGGTGATAGAGGGATTATATATGTGACACACAATTTGAGCAAAAAGGAGCCATTTGATTTGCGAAAGCAGTTTCTATCAAGCACTCATGATCCGGGAACTTTTGGTGTGGTACAATAATAGCATCCCATCCAGGGGGGTGTAGAAATACTCCTAGGCTCTTCATGCTTCATGCTGAAACCAGATCTGGTTTCATTTTTTTATAACAACAGAGTCTATGAATTGATTTATATTAGTCAAAAGAATCCAAATTGTTCCAGACAATGTTACCTTTTTGAAACAACCAGAGTGATCAGAGGCCAAAGATTGATTTTCAAGACTTCTCTTAAAATAATATAATTGTGTACTCTCAAAAAGAAATGCCTTGGTAGAACTGGGTTATTTAAAGGACGGTGCCTACTAAATACAAAGGTTTTTGCGCCAGGTTAGGACCACACTGAAAAAGTAGATCTTTGTAAGGGATATTGGAATCCACAAAGGAAAATTGGGGTAGCTACACATTTTGTTAAGATAATTAGCCTTGAATCTCAACAAAAATGCTGACATCAGCATTTTTCTGAAAAAGGAAGGAAAGGGAATTTCCTCACAGATTTCCTTAGAATTTGCCTTTACATGCAGTAAAGCAAACACATTTATAGGATCTTAAAACTACATGGTAAATGGTAACATAAAAACCATTTTTGGTATGTTTTTAATAACAAAATCATTGCAACAGGGATTTTAGCATCTCTGACAGCCTTCCTCTGGTTCAGCTAAAATTCAGTCTAAATACCTTTTGTTCACAACCAGAAACTAATCACCTGTTGAATAGGCTTGCCACTTCCAATTCGTAACATAAAATGTAGGGGTAACCACATGTTTTTTAAAGTTATTGATCTTTTTTGAGAACTTTAATAGTGCCCATTACATTTTTTCCTGTCACCTCCCCAGTAAGTAAAACATTTGCGTATCTCATACTTGTTTTGCTCGCGCACTACGCCATCTGCAGGTACATGTTTACAGTTGGATTTCAGTTAAATGTTCTACAGATAACAGCTAGTTTTTCAGCTGGAAGACATTAACAGTTAGTGCTTAGTGATATGCTGCTATTCTGGTGTTCCTGGCTTAAGTACAGGTTCATTAAACTTCATTTGGTCACAGTAGGAAAATTTTGCTTTCATTTTAGTCATGTACTTGGTAGCAAAGTTGATTACGTCAGTGTCAACCCAGCGCACGCAAGGTGCTTAAACCATGCCTTGAGTGATGCGCAGAATGTGTGCGCACTAACAAAAGTAGGCACCATCCTTAAAATCTCTGCTACAAGTTATTTTCTGTAGAATACTACAGATGACTCCTGGTAACTCGAACCATTAACTTAAAAGGTTTGAGTTATCGGAGCTTGATTTAGTGGTGGATGGGAAGAAATGACCAAATATTAGGATGAGCTAAGCGCGGTTCATGTTCTACCCTTGGTTTATTTTTTTTTATTTTTTTTTTGTCGGAGACCAGACGTAGATCTCCACTCGGCCAACTTTGAATTACGCAATCGGTAATGTTTACTCGCCAAACCTTGTTTCTTCAGGGTCAACAGAAATCTCAGATTGCAAAATCACGCCGAACCTACACGTTGCAAAAAAATCTCTTCAAAACCCTGACATCGAAACGATATATCACTTTAGCGTTAATAGCTACC